TTTTTTTATTTAAGTAGCATCGTTTTTTATCAATAAGTAGTGCAGTAAAAAGTTCAGTTTTTTCCTCTGCTCTTATACATACAATTGCTCCAACAGATTGAACCATGGTTGAAGACAAAGAAGGGTCCACCAGATGGAAGAGAATACAGGCAAACACCTGCAGAAAGAAAGAAACTAGATGGTTTATATGAGTGCATATTGTGTGCCTGTTGTAGTACATCTTGCCCGTCTTATTGGTGGAACCCAGAGGAGTTTGATGGACCTGCAGCCTTGCTTCATGCTCATCGTTGGATATCCGATAGGTAATAATTTAGACGAAAGACGATCTAATCTTTTTGGAGGTCATGTTATACCTAAAACTTTTGATTACACTATAAAATGAGATAACACGCGATAATGGGGCGTATCAAATTTATCTTATAGAAATTAGAGAGGCACTAGCTCCGCTATAGTTTTGCATTTGTTGACGAAAGGCCTTAGACAATAAGTTCAAAATCACACATTTAACATGCTAAAGAACGACATTGAATTTAGAACACCAATTTTGAACTTGTTTACAAGTAGCATATATAGCTAGTGATGGCATCTTGATCTCATATGAATATATTGCTTGGTTTTCTTTTTTTCTTTGACAGCCGCGACGACTACACGGAGGAGAGATTGGAGGCATTAACGGAGAATGACAAACGTTTATATCGATGTAGAATTATAAAGAATTGTACAGCCACATGCCCCAAAAGCCTAAACCCTGCTCTAGCTATTCGTCAAATGGAAGCCATGAAGTCCAGGAATCGATTTTAATTCTTCTTGTGTGGCAGGGTGGGCATGATCTTGTGACGTGAAAGTGGTTTTAGATCTTGGTGTCGTTAATTATTTGAGAAATTCCCGGTGAACTTTATAGTGGTAGTCGTCGTGTATATACGAACCAAGCCTTTTTGCTTATGCCTTATGATCAGAGGTAGATGGTTTTTCTTCGTTATTACTAGTTCTTGGAGCAATGTTGGTGGCTTAATCGTCTTTTGGGCATTTGGTTCGCCTCATACGACTCCAAGCTATTTGTGGTTTAAATTCTAAGATGTCGGGTTTAGTCGGTTTGTGGAATTATTTGGTGTGTGTAAGTTGACCTGAAAACTTACGGTTATCAAAAGAAAAAGAAGGGAAATTGACTCAAAATGATCATATTTCATAACCAAATTAATGTTCTAACCATTTCTCTCTAGATTTTACTCAAAAATCACTAAATCCGTAAAACGACAAAATTTCAGGCTTTCTTCTCCCAGATCCGCAACCACGTCTGTAAGTATTACGAATGCGGCCCAAAAGCCTATTTTCCTTTGAAAACCACAGGTCCACAACCACCATCATATTCGTAATACTTAATGTTCGTAATACTTAAGGTCGTAACGTTACATCCACAATGGTACATCTGCAATAATTGGTGGATGTACCGTATCAGCTAAAAAACCAGAAAAATATATTGAAGTCAACCAAAAAAATCTTTAGAAATCGATCAAAAACCAAAAAATGGCCCATCAAAATCGATTATTTTTTGGGTCCGCATCCATTTGACATTTCGACCTAATCCGTCTAAGGGGCTGTTTGATGGTTGCTGGATGGTTTAGTGCAGAATGATTAAGTGGTCAGAATGATTAAAAGACTCTTATAATATAGTGTAAAATGAAATATAATCGTTTGATAATTGTTTACAATGAAATTATAGCACTGAATGGTTAACGGAGACTCATGATACATAATCATTCATAGGGTTTTAGAATCATTCAGAGACATAATTTTTTTTGCCAAACAAGATTTACCTCTTAACGATTCAAATGCTACCTTTTAATGTAACTATTAAAAGGTAAACAAACAAACCTTAAGAAATAAACTCATAAAAAAGGAAACAACCACTACTTTGTTTGTCCTATCTCATTTTTAATGTTATTTAAAATTGTGGCAATAAAAGAAAAAAAGAATAGTAAGGGGATCGATCTGTCATTATACAAATGAGCAGGGGTTTATATGCCATAACAAAAAAAAACAAACATAAGCTATGTGTACCCGAGGAAAGCCCATGTTCATCGTTCCATTCCATCTATCAATGGCAGAGTCGGAGCACCCTCGTCTCATCCTCCACAAATTTCTCTCCCCTGATCTCTGTAAGGTTCGTCACCGTTCACTACATACTGAATGCTTAAAAATTATCATGTTCCTGTGCATGCTTATGATTTCTTCATTTAGGGTTTATTAAATGTACAAATTTATCTTCTTACAGGAGCTTGAATTCATACACAAGAGCTGCAGCACTATCGGATACAGAAAAAATGTGTTCTCCACTACGCTTTCTCATCTCATTGCCACTAACTCTCCTCATTTGATTCTTCCTTTTATTCCTATACGTGGTAATCAATTGAATCATGGGTTTTCTAATCGTCTATAGTTATTTTATTTAAGTATCTGGTTGTATCGGTAACAGTTAATTTTGACTTGGTCGATGACAGAGAAGCTCAAAGAGAAAGTGGAAGAATTTTTTGGCTGTGAATATGAGCTCTTTATCGAATTCACTGGTTTGATCAGGTTTGATGGTCCTGTCTGCTACTGTTCTTGATCTTATTTGTTCCTATATTAGTCTTGTAATAGCATTAGGATTTATTTGGTTGGCAAAATAGTTGATTGCAACTTGAAGTACATATTCAAAGACGAAGATTCTGTGAGAATAGGAGTTAAGTTGAGAAGCCTATGAAGGTATTTGGACCTTTGATCACTTTTAATCTCACTCCCACACCATGAATTTCCCTTATCACGAAAATTTCGGTGCACCGCTTGATCTTCAGTTAGGATTGATCTGATACTTACCACTCAGCTAAGGTTGGAAGAGTGCCAATGTTTAGCTTGATTCTGTCAACCTAGAAAATCAGGGAAAGAATGGTTTCCGAAATTAACAGAGAGGGAATTGAAGAAGATGAATGGCAGAGAGGAATATGAATATCTTTCATATATTCCTTATGTTACAATAAATCCTTTATATACTAAAGCTCAATGATGGATTACCCCTTTGACGATAACAAACTCCTCTACTAACACCATATGACACGTGTATGGATAAAAAAGAAATAAGAAACTACATTATCACAACATCCCTGCATATTATGTTGTAGATTTCTTATGTGCATCATTGCCTCTTCCGTTAGACGATCCTTGTCCCTAGGGATCAAATGCGGATACAGCTTCTCCATTTCCATAGCATTCTCCCAAGTTGCATCTTGCATCACGATTCTTCCATTTCACCAACCATTTAATTACAGGCTTGTTCAAACGCTTAAGCATTCTCTTATCGATAACCCGTTATGGTTCCTTCCCCATTACGCTACCAGTAGAACTGAAGGGGGCAGAATCTTTGGGTAGAGGGCCAAAGTGCCATTTAAGCAATGAGACATGGAAGGTAGGATGAATGCTTGAATCAGGTGGTAACTTAAGAGTATAAGCTACCTTACCCACCTTAGTAATAACTGGGTAAGGATCGAAGTACTTTGATGCTAGATTCTGGATGGGTCTGTGCTTGACTGAAGTTTGTCGATATGGTTGCAATTTGAGATAGATCCACGTCCCCACCTAAAACTCCCTTTGTGATCTCTTCCGGTTCGCAGCTTGTAGCATAAGATTCTGAGCTTTATGCAAATTATGCTTGAGCAACCAAATGGCCTCTTCCCTTGCTGTTAAACTTCGATCAACAGAATCTACCTTACTTTCTCGAGGCAGATAAGGTAGATGTAAAGGAGGGGTTGACCATAAACTACTTCAAATGGAGTGCAACTAATAGCAGAGTGGAAGTTGGTATTGTACCAGAACTCGGCTAAAGGAAGCCACTTGGCCCAAGTAAGTAACCTTCCACACACCTATACAAAACTTCTGATTGGCCGTTTGTTTGAGGATGATAGCTACTGGACAATTCTAATGAGTACCTTGAAGCACCAACAATTCTTGCCAGAAGTTGCGGAGAAAGATTTATCCCTATCAGACACTATAGATTTAGGGAAACCATGTAGCTTATAGATGTTGTCCAGGAAGACTTAAGACATATCAATGGTAGAAAAAGGGTGGCTGAGTGTTAAAAAGTGAGCATATTTACTTAGTCCGTCAGTGACAACTAAGATGGCATCTTTACCCTGCGATTTTGGCAACCCCTCGATGAAGTCCCTGGCAATATTCTCCCATATGCCTTCAGGGATAGGCAGGGGCTGTAACAATCCAGGCTTAGCTGCATTATCAGTCTTGCACTTTTGACAAGCGGGACAATTACGAATATAATCGACTACATCTTGCCTCATCTTTCGCCAAAAAAATGGACAACCTTTTTAGAATGGTAGTGCCCCCCCCTGATGAGAGCCATGCATTAATGCTAAACCCTTGCTTTTCAAATCCTTATAACTCCCCATGACCAACCTGCCCTTCCTCCGAAGTTCCCGATTTTGCCAAGTAAATTGAGGGTGTCGACCGCTTCTGTCTTGAGTTTCAGCTATTAGAGTCTTAAAATTAATGTCATTTTCCCAACTCGCCTTAATAAGGTTATGGAGGTCAGATTGAATGCCCGAAATTGCCAGTTGTAACTTGTAGCAACTCCCCATGGGTGGCACTTGATAGCGCATTTGCAACTTTGTTTTCAACACCCTTCTTGTAGGAGATTTCATAGTCATAGCCTAAAAGTTAGACAACCATCTTTGTTGAAACGGAGTGTTAACCTTCTTTTCTAGCAAGTGTTTCAAGCTCTGTTGATCAGTCTTGATTACAAAATGTCTGCCCAACAGGTAAGAACTCCACTTTTCCACTGCGTGTATCACAGCCAAGAGCTCTTTTTTCCTATGTGGATAAGGTTAAAAGTTTAGGTGACAAGGCTTTGCTAATAAAGGACATTGAATGCCCCTTTTGCACGAGGGCCACCCCAATTCATTGATTAGAAGCATCTGTCTCAAATACAAGCGACTCATTGAAGTCTGGCAAAGTGAGCACAGGAGGGTTCGCCATTGCATGCTGGAGGTCTATAGAGGCTGCTGCTGTTTCATCACTCCAGTGGAATGAGTCTTTTTGTAATAATCTTGTTAAATGCTTCGCAATGATGCCATACCTTTTGATAAACCAACAGGATAGCCAAGTGATATAATTATATATATATATATATTATGATGAACAATAAAACAACATTTCCGTAGTAAGATCAACTTTCGATCGTGAGACAAGAAATTGATGAGATTCTTCTATTTTAAAATGAACTTGCTACAATTTTTTCTGAATCACTCTCAAATTTCAGCTGGAGCAAAGGTGCAAGCATCAGCTGGCATAGTGACGATAACAGGCCATATCTCAAGCAACGTGACTATGCGGTGCGCACTTGAACTTTTGGGATATGCATGTCATTGAAAACATTCAGACCTCCTTATTTATTGACTATTAAATTCATACCTGGATCATTTGGCGTTCATCATACTGATTATGATATTTGGCTACTGTGGCACCCGTTCATCTCCATTTTAGTTTCAGTACCCCGTTGGGGAATGCGAATGCAAACTTTAATTTTGCATGGTGTACAATCAAAGTGATTCTAGATCTAGTGTCTTATTGTTGGTTTAAGTAACCTTTCTTGTCACTTCTAAGTGAATTAAACGCGTACCACTACAATATTTAATGTTTGAAACTCTTTCGTTGCATTGATGTTCTTGTCTAGGTTACTCTCTTAACTTCTTTGTTTCCTCTATGTTTAAGGCAGTATGTTATTTGAATAGTTATGGTGTGGATTTTGGTGGTGGTCTCTTTCACTTCCAGGATGGCGAACCTACAACTTTCATTCCCATGGCTGGTGTAAGTTGTACTTGTTCCATTCAAAATCGCAATATGTATCACTCTTTTGCTCCATATGTATGTCTATATAGATAGTCAGTGATGTGTATTATAAGTTTTATCAGATACTCAGATACAATTGTTTTCTTTTAGGTAGTCTTACCTGTTTATCACTAATGTCTCTATGCTTATTGTATTTCATTAGGATGTTCTGATTTACACTGCCGACAGCCGGAATGTTCATTCTGTTGAAGAGGTATCTCCAATATTCTATCTTCTCTGTTCCATAGACTGCAAATTATACTGGCACTGTGGCATTGGCATTGGGTCTTGGGCAAAAATGAAAAGGAAGGGCATGATATAAAAATTGATGATCCTTTTGGCATAAAACATTCGGCCCATGAAAAATATATCACCAATAATAGTTTTTATTTTATTTTTCTCGTTATTCTATTTTTCTCGTTATCTTTTTCTATCAATTCAATGAAAATGATATTCAGCTTATGAATGAACTTCAAATGGATGTCACTCTTCCCGGATGCGTAGATATTCACTTTCCTTTAGTTGATTATTTTTGGGGTTTTCCTGTTTGTCTTTAGGGGGTAGGCAGGGAGCGGGGGAGGGTTGTAATCACTCTTCCTGGCTCTCTGACTTTCATGTTGGCACATATATTTTGTTCTGGATCAGCATATACATAAATTTATGAACTCTTGTGCCACCCCTGGCCACTAAACAGAACTATTGATTTCTCAGATAAAACAGTGCTTTAGACTTACCTACTATCCCAAAGTACCTTATGTTACAGATAGTCTTTGGATAGATATTTACTTCATATAATGAGAATCCTGTGGGAAAGCTTTGACCATTATGGCAGAATTTCAACTTCACAATTCACCAAAGAGAGCTTGGTTGGACCCATTGGAAAATCAAATCAAATGATCATTTTTATGACATAAGTATGAAGATAAGTGGATGTTTTAAATAAGGAAATGTCGCATCTAATTTTCTCAGAATGGAATATTTGCTTAATGTGGATGGAGGGAATGGCTTTAAAATATTGACTTACTGAAGCATGACACAAGATTACAGAGCAATAAGAAGCCTTAGTGAGTCAGAGGGGAATGGAAAGAGCAAATGTGTTGCTACTATGAGAATGTGAGAACATGCAATGTAAAACATGTAACTGATGACAAATAGATTGCTTAGGTTTGATTTAAAACCATACCAAACCAAGCCAAATATTACATGGCATACCACTAAAAAGTAGGGTATGGGGGATAGGATGCACAAAGACCTTTCCTTTTCCCCAAGGGGTAGAGAGCCCTCGTGAAGACCTCCGACTTGTGAAAACTTTAGTAGAGACAAAGACAACTTATGGCAAAAAGTCCTTTTGTTTTGAAAGTTGGGAGGATTTTGAAAAGAAACTAGAGAGTGTAAGGCACAGGCTAGAAATACTAGAAAATGAGTGTATGCAGGCAACAAGGACAGTAAGCAGTAAGTCAGTAACAACAATAAGAACAGTAAGCAGTAACAAGAATACGAACATATGCAAGAAAAAAAAAAACTAAAACACCAACCCGCATAAAAAGAGGTACTAGAGCCAGATCCCCATACTACAACAAAGCCAGGACATTGACATTGCTATCCTAGTATCCTATAAGTAGGATCTCTACCCTTCCCCCATCTATAGTAGCTGCTAGTCCCCATAAAAAATCTGCTACATTGGTCCTACACCTCCAAGAAATTTGATTAGAGGTCATGCCTTGGAAAGGTCTAAAGAGTAAGACCACCATTTATCCTCTGCTGCTCATCCCACGTCCTCCTCCGCGACCCCTCCCCCCATCCCCTTGATAGTTATGCTCTCCACCCCTCTCACCGGAACTGTCATGTCTCCCTTAACATGCCCAAACTACCATAATCTTCCCTCTCATTTTTAGTGATGATCTTAGACAAGCTTAATTGAACAACTTTATGTCATTCTTAACTTCATGGGTTATAGTTGTTTTGTGAACCGTGGCACTTTGAAGCCAAAAAAAAAAAAAATGAAATGGGAAAAAAACTTATTAAGCTGCAAAACTTCGTCTATGTTGATTGCAGATTACCAAGGGAGAAAGACTCACTCTTACATTGTGGTTTACCCGGGATAAATCTCATGATGAAGATGTAAAGCTCATCTCATTCCTAACCAAATGTCCATTTAATTGCTCCGACCCCAGTCCGAGTGACTACTTACCATTGCCAGCCTCACAGAACATGTATTGGTTTCCGCCTGAACAATCTTCAACTTACCAGTCAGGATTTGACATACGATTTGCAAGACTACATGTTCTAGGATACAAACCTTATTCCTCAGATGCAAGTTCCCTCACCAAAAAACATTCATCCTCAGATTTCTCCGACATACTGCTTGAACCATTAAGTGTGGTACGAGGAAATGAGTTATTTGACAAGGAATTCGCCAACTTATCACATCTACTTCAGGTACATTAGTCATTTTAAAGCTTACACTAGAAATTTTTGGTTTCATTTAAGTTGTAGTTATTGATGAACAGATTTGTTGAGTGTGTCTGAAAGCTGCTGCATCCAGTTGATAAAAAAGCTAACATGAGTATCTTTTCTTCCAAAAATACCATAATTATAATTTAGCCTTCAAATCTAAAATATTATCATCTGATGTGGATCAGATGGTTCAGTTTTACCATTGGAAGGCTCCCCAGTTGCAGAGATCATCAGAATTCAAAATGGAACCCATCAAAGTGGTGCCAATTTCTACATCACACCGGGAGAACATTTGTCGTTTGACGGTTGAATTTTTAAAGGATGAACATCTAGCAGAGACAATATTCCATTGCATGAGTTGTGGTGAGAATGATTGGGTGAATTTTTGTGGCACGGTTGATCTATGGGAAGCATATACAAGTAAGCTATGGCATAAGATGGTTGTGATCCTACCGAAGTGGGTAGCAAACCAATCTATTTTCTATGAACCCAATGGTTGGGTTTGAAGGTTAGAAAATGGGTTAAGTAAGATATAATTGGAAGTAGAATGTGGTGAAACAGAACAATTTTGATGGAGTTGCATTGTTTGTAGACTTGGGATTATGTGAGACGATATAAATAACACTAAACCTTAACAGTGAAACATTGTGAAGGTGAACCTTCAATGTGTTCTTGTTGTGAAGTTTTGGTTTTTTTTGGACCTGTTTTAGTGTTAGAAGTATTGAATCTATACTATCTTATAAAGCATTTGGCTAAAACAATTAAACCCGTTCATCTCTAAATGATTTCATCCCTATCCGATTTCATCTCATATCTGAATTCGTGTAACTAACTGCAGATAAACACAATCAAATACAAGATAAACATCTCATTTTAAATATAAAAA